GCCTGGGCTCAAGGATGTCATCCGTTTCTGTCTCAACCGGTCTCCTTCCTCCTCACCTACTTCTGGCTCATCCAAAATGCGGCTCAAATCATTGTCAGAGGGGTCTTGCTGAATTTGGCGTGGCCGATGATCAGGTTGGGCCTCAGATGGCGTAGCGGGTTGTACAGGAAGCTCGTCTGCAACAGCTAGATCCTGAAATCTGCAAGAATCTGTCTTGTTTATGGCCATGTATCGTGGGTTGAAACCTCCGCCAGTGATACGAAGCTTGCTGATTAACTGGGTTTCATTGAGGCGAACGCATAGTTGATGACTCCGGAGTAACCTTCCACGATATTTAGGAACTGAATCGACGATGCGAGTGCAATCTTTTTCTTGAATTTTAGGCCTTGATGTTATTAAAGGTTTACGTGATGTTCTTGTTCGGCGTTGACGCAAAATTCGAGTCCTCCCACAAGAAGTCGGAAGCGTAGCCCAGACGACAATCATAAAACAAGACTAGTGACATTATCTGTTTAGAAATGCGATAAAATGGAAGAATATTCTATAAGAAAAAATGAATTAACCATCAAAATTGACAAAAATCTGAAATTAGTGACGGATCCTCGTAGATGAACTGCAATCAGACTGAAGAAATTACAGGAAAAGAAATCTTGAAAAATTGTGGCTGTAACAGAGTTCGAATCCGTTGTCTCCCAAACAGTAGTTGGGCCTTTCTACCAACTCAGCTAAGAAGCCACTGTTATCTTACTTGTGGAGTGTTACTAAATTATAGTTTGTAAAGGACAACAGCAAATAGGTGCGGCCAAAATCTTACCCTATTTGTCTAATATACAGCGAAGCAACTTAGGCTCCATATAAGTAAAATTTTCACCTTCGGTTTCACAGGTATCTCCATGCTTCTCTAGACTGGCTGGTGAACTTCTCCAACACTTGTCTAACCTTAAAGAAAATCAATAATACTGAGTTTAATCTGTCATCTTTACACGTTACCTCTCGTAAGTGGGTTAAATTTAATTACAAACAAAGAGAAAGACTGATTAAAAAAGCCAGCTGTTTGGCAGCCATTATTAGGGGGAAAATGCTATGTCGACTACAATTCTTGGATAACAATTGCCGCCTTGACAGGGTTCGTGTTTATCCAAGGCTTTTTTAGCTGACAAGTGAACTTCGATTAATATTTCAACTGAATTTAAACCGTCGGTCTGTGTTTATTTTCTTAACATCAGTTTTTCGCGAGTGAAATCAGTTCGTGGTATACTAATCTTGCCTGTCATGCTTGTTGACGTTGGTGTTGGCTGATGTATAAATTGGCTTGCGTGGAAATGTTCACAAGTGTTCATTGTTTGATCGGACGGCGCAACTGTTTGTAAACTCTTTAAGAAAGTTAGAAACAGTTGGACTCGTGTGACAGATTTTAAGTGGAACCTTCTGTTCTCTCATCTTGAAAAACACATCACCTATGCAATCAGGAAAGCAACGCCGCGGAGGAAGTCGATTAACAAATGAATTTTTAATTTCAGTTAGAATTTTGAGAACAGCTGGATGTGTCACCGTCTCTTACAGCGCCATATATATCAACTCTGCCATAACGTCAAATTCCAAGTAACAACTTAAATTATTTATCGCCGTGGTTTTCGTTCTGGGACCACGCAGATTTTGATGACTTCTCGTCAAGTTGTTTTGCAGAGGACGGCTATAAATGTACAGCATTGTGTTAAACCGCTCGTGCTGCGCTATTCTTCTGCCAATTAGATATTTTGTTTCGTTGTGTCCTCGTTTACCGTCGCCGTCTTGTTTTGCTTTTGACTCGTGACTTCTGACAAAACATATATATGTCACGCTTCCGTTTGGCCTGTTTGTTAAGCCATCAAACGAAGTTATTATTATTTTTTTTTACTTTTAAGTTGATATTTTCAGGTTTCCGATAGAGAGTCATAACCGCTGTTCAATATTTGACTCAATTAAAAAGGAAAGGAACAAAGTCTAAATTTGAAGATATAGACATTTGCAGTTATTTCTCAATCGGCATTAAACTTTCCTTGAGAAAGTAACAAAGCATAGTGGTAAGCTTTTCATGGAGCGGAATTTCAACGGCAGAACGCGGAGGAATCCAGAATTTCTTTAAAAAGAGAAGCTTTATATAAACCGTATACAAGTCGTATACAAAAGCGCTCAGACATATCTTAATACTCCGACGTAACACAAAAACTCTCTCGATTAAGAATATCAAAGATATAAAAGACATGTTCCACTCTCGTCCTAAGAAGAAAAATCATGATTGAAAATACAAATTATAAACAAATTAATAGCGAATTTATGTTTTTTAAGCAAAACTCAATCAAAGAATCATACACTTTGGATTTAAGTTATGTAAGAGAGTTTTCTTGCTACACCCAAACTTTGCAATCGTCAAAAAATAATTTACTGGGCTTGAAACTTTGTCGCTTTTTGTGTAAGGCCAGCGTAATATATATGCATCAACGACCAAAACTTATAAAATCAGATGGATATAAAGAACAAGTAAATTTATAACCAGGCATAACTCCCGTGGCATACCTTTTTACAAGCAACTAAGGCCTCAGTCTGTTCAGATCGCTTTTCTATTGTTCAGCTCTGCAGTCGTTCTAATCTTTTGTGGGTATAACGAACTCTTTTTAACCAGTCAAGGCGGAAAAAGCAGAAAGCAATATCTTTGTCTCGAAATATTTTCTTCTCCTTTTGTGGCTTTATGAAAAAATAATAATAGATTTTAGCCTAATACTTGTTTTGCATATTAATGAAGCTTTATTACTAGCTACCTGTGTACTTCCTGTTACTGCTTTCACCGGCCAAAAGGGCCGACAGAACTCTAGACGTTTACCAAAAAAGGAGAAATAAAAATATAGCTGAGCAGGTTTGCTATTATAATTCGTTTTTTCTTTGTTAATTCGCGCAAGTTCGGATTTCACCATAGTTAAGTTGCTACAAGTTATGATGCAAAACGGCGTATAACGTTTTCAATTGATCTTTTTGTCAATAGCATATTTGTAGCTTGTCATAAGGATATCAGACATCAGCACTGTATATTTTGTGTAAAGGTTGGATTCTCTGGGTAATATTAGGTTTATTTTTGCATTATAAATCAATCATTAATAGAAAACTGACAAAATCCATCAGCAACTGATTGACGGCTAGTGAACAAAAGAAACCTTGATCCTAACCTTAGACTGGAAAAAATGTTAGTTTTAAGACTTAAATAATGGGGGAAAATATTCTCTTAGAAATCACACTTTTACTTAAATTGAAAATTCCTCCTTTGACTCGTAAAAGTTCGGTGAACTTCTTTGTTCTTCGATTGTTATGACGTTGGTGTAAAGTTGTAAGATCTATAGCTCACAACTTCCGTTGTTTCCACGGAAGAGTGTTTCCCTAGGAAGAAGTAAAAGATGTGGGCGAAAATAAAGCAAAATAATTAAAGAAAAATAGAACGGAATTTGTTTTAGATCTCTATAAACTGTGGAAAATGATCATTCATTGAAGAGAATCAAGGCATCTTCGAAACTAATTTTGCGTACTCTGGAATTGTACACTTTCGTCGACAAAGTAATTGTCCGTCAAAGAGTAGTACGAAAGCGTAAATTTAAAGTTAGTAGACTGAGACAATATTTGAATAACAACTTGAAACTGTGACCTTCTGTCTCCTAGAAACAGTAAGCAAATATCTGATTGTTTATTGTTTCTGCTCAAAGTTAGTCATGCAATGACGTCATGGTTCAGTGTGGTTATTTTGGCACTCGCCCTAATGACGCACAAGGTAAGAGCCAGATCGTCACTTAAAGAACAATAATCTAATACATAAAAGCAAAAATATTGATGTAATTGGATTATACTGAGTTATAAAGCGGTCACAACATGGTATTATAACTCTAGCGCGTAGGCCATGGGATTTTACCGAGTTGATATTGAGATCCAAGTGTTTCAGAAAGGAAAGAGAACTACTTTGCCGAAAAGTCGGAACCAAACTAATTTATGAAGCAAATCAATGGCCCATGAAAACAGCTGATTACAGCCCGCCAGTATACTGAGCTGAATTTTTTTTAAGTAACATCTGTTCATCAGTCCAAGATATTTCTGATCAAGGAAAAGATATTTCTGTTTAGAGCATTTTTCTTGATTTTTCTTCTTGTAAAGAGCCGAAGAGTTTCGTCACCATATCTATTTTTTTTATCTGCAACAATTTATCTTTAATACACTGATTAAAATTCAAGTAGGAGTACAAATTTAACATGAAGGTGTTTGAGCATCTTGAGTAAACATGACATTTGTTCAACATGGTCCTAGTCTACATGTAGCCTTACCCTCTACTCGGAAGAGAAACGTTTTCCTTTTCTGCAAGGGAGGAAGGGTACGGCTACACAAAAGTCAACACGGTACACATGCTTTCTGATTGAAAAAAACACACTTATTTCCAATTCTTTGCATTCTTGAATTCAAAACCAAGGCTATGTACTATACTTAATGACTGCACTCACGGATCACTCGTTATTTAACGACGCGGGAGGGAGGGGGTGGGTGGAGGATTTTAGGGGGAGGGAGAGTAAGAAGAAACGTTTGTCAACTAACTTCCGGTTTATTTTCGATGTGCAGCAAAACCTGCCTTACTTTTAAAAGAACAACTATTATTAACCACAAAATAGCGAGGTAGGCTAACTATGATTATCTTTGTTTTGAAGAGGAGCTAACGCTCAAAATGTAAGCTTCAGAAACTCTTTACGGTGCCCAATTTATAAAACAAAATCATCTTAAAATAGCACTGTCTACTGTTAGGTTTTTTTACATATGGAGGCAAAAATCAAATAAAATGTTGCATCTCTAGTCTATTTTGAAGATGGATGTGTAAGACTCCAATCTTCAATGTGGGAAAAAATCGAGTTGACGGAAGAAAAAACAGCAGGAGAAGGAATTCCAGGTTGCGCAGGCTTAGTAGCGAAGAGAAAACAGCCTACTTAATGGCCAAGGAACTACCGGCCCAGGTTATAGCGCAGCCGTTGGCATTCGCAGCAAATACCGATTTCTTGCGTATACGGATCCCATACCTCGGTGTAAATATCAATCCGTGGCCAATAACTAACGGTTTGATGGAACTCATATTTCCCAGTGAAATGAATAAATGTAAACTCCATGAACCGCTGAATGCATCGTCCCTGATTCGTGAGGCAGCTGTCACCTTGACATTTGACTTCTCTGATAAATCTGGGGAAAACTCCTTCTGGTAGGCTTGTGACAATAGTACGTTCCGCACATAAGCGAGTTAATCCGCTTTGACCCACACGCGATTTGTTATTCTGATAGAATTTGCTTGGAAGCTTGTCCCGAAGTCTTCTGGCATCTGTCTTGTTGATTGCCATGTAACGCGAGTTGAAGTCGCCAACCTGTCGAAGCCTGGCTTTCAGCTGGGTGTCATTGAGGCGGATGCAAAGTCGGGAAAGGGGTCGCAATTTTCCTCTACTGAGATGATCAGGGATCTCGTCGACAATGAGACTGCATTCTTTGCCAACAATTTTTGACTTCTGGGAAATTGGGCGAAGGCGATTGTACACCGTAGGAGGAGATTGCGGTACGTTCCATCGGCGCCCTAAAGATGGCGGAATCTCAACGTACAGAAATATCAAAGTGGCGAGGAACTGCATCTGTAAAATAAGAGGCACCGATTGCAATGTAAGGTGTCATCTTTGACGCTCAATAGTTGCATCCTCCAACTTTAACAGCTGTTTGTTCGGCAAACCTCTCATTAAATAATCCGTGAGATTCATTTCTAATACTCCTAATCTAATTGAAGTAGCAGTTACAACTGAGAAAGTAAGTATGGGGTCAGCGCGTGTTTCAGTGAAAGTGCAACGTTTTTGATCAATTTGTTCGGTGTACAATTAAAATGACAGATAAAGTCATCCAAAGTTGAATTCCATCCCAATAGGTCAATTTTAGAAAAAGACAAAATAAGGATTTCCACTAAAAAGTAAAAAAATTATTTTACCTTCAGCGTTAGGCTCATCATCTTTAGCTCTGCAGGAAAGTTCCAGTAGACCAATTCAAGATTCTTTGAAAACCTGCAAAATCAGCAGTTCAGGAATATTTTATCATCGTAGTAAATTTAACGAGCTTCAGTTCTTTTTCTATATATAATACTAATCCTTTCCCTTCTCAATCAACCTCTTTCCTCTCTTGGTTAACTGTTTTCAGTTTGGTCTTCGTCAACCCCAGCAAACACCACAATTATATCACTCGGAAGAAGAGGTAATGCTTTTCACGGAGACCGCCAATTTACATTATAACTCAGTTGATAAAACAAAATCATCTTGATAATACCTCCCTCAGACGCAGCACTACAGTTTTTCTTAGTAACTAACCCCTTTCTAATTGTTTCCAAGAGTTGTGCGATCGAAACGGCGACACCCTATGCGGCTAAAACCGTTTCAATATATGTGTATAAACTTAATTTTAAGTCCAATTATATAAATCAAGTCATTAATTAATATAAATTTGGGTGGTATGTAAGCAAAATCCTGTTACTTTCTTCAAAAATGTCCTTACCCTTAATTCGGTGAAGACCGGAGATTACTTGCTGAAAGGTGAGGTAATCTTGTGTCCGAAATCGTGTTCTCTTTGAGGCCCTGCTTGCGGTTGTGATTTTCTTGGATAACTGGACTTCTTTTTAAAACAACTGCTAAGCGGAAAAAAACAGTCCAGAACTTTTGTAAAGTTCGAGCAATTAACGATGGTAAATCAAATCCGTTTTATGCTCGGAAATAAAATGGAGTATTGGAACTGAATAATAAAGCTCTTTCAAAACCTTGTTTCACGACATTTGTTGTCTGATTCACACTAATTGAAATTGGCTTGATGAAAATTCGATTTTACAAGCATGCTTCACTAACAGAAGTCCACTGACAATAAAGTGTTATGATCATCAATTGGTTCTTTCGGCAGCGTGCGTTCCCAAAGATATAAAACACTTGGGAAGTTTGCAGATCACAGAAGAACCGTGAGTTGCTCTCGGCCCCACTTCGAACAACTCTTTCCTGTCTTTTTGTGCGGGAAATTTGGAGAGCTAGGTGACTTGTGAACCAAAAAGTAAATTTAATAAGAGCAATGGCATGGTGGAAATTTGTATTTCGTAGTTTGAAATATTGTGTTTTAATTTTCCTGTTACTCGCTCTCTTTTTTTTTGCAATATGATGACTTTTCCTTATCAGTCCCCCGGTACAAAGTTCCGGTATTTAATTAAATAAATTGAATTTTATTTACTTCGTCATCCCTAATTTCATAGGCCTCTATTTCGTATTTGTTATTCAATGGTTTAATCTAATTTCTTTACTATTTTCAGTCCCACCCAAACAAACTAGTTAATTTACCAATCTGTATTTTTTCCGCTTAAGACGATGTTCCTATGAGCAACGCCAAAATTTGCTCTTTATGAATGAATGATAACAAAACACTTTGGTTCTCTGGAAAAATCGGTGTTCATTTTTTCCTCTTTCGAACATACTGCTGATGTCTGTTGCGGTGTTGCGGTATCTAAAACTCAATTTCCATTTAGTCCAGTCTCGTTGGACTTGGAAATATTTTATTTTCGACTGCTGGGCACGCTTTTAATACGTCAACGTATTGGAAGTTCCGTTTCTAAATGAAGCCTTCCGAGACCACAACATTCCGCTCTCTAGAAAAATAGGTGTGCGTGAACATTTCCTTTTCAGCGTGTTGTTGATCCTAGTTGTGTTTTCAGTTTATGAATATTTATTTCTGAAAATGACTTAGAAGGCCTTGGCAATTCTTAAAGTTTTTCCGCTCTCACTCGTTGTCGTAAATGTCTCTATAAAAATTCACAGGGTATCGTCAAAAGTTTATGACCGCTTGTTTTGCGTGTATGTCTAGTGTAGAAGTCAGCTTTGTACGTGATGTGCCCACGCCTGTGCTCTACACGCGATGTGTTCACACCTGGTGAACACGAAAAAGTACTTAGGAAAGGTCAATGCCATCTCCTTTCACATTACCAAATATTAAACACCTCGTGGAAGAACACGCCATCAGAGGATGTGAAAACTCGCGTTATTTTACGTCACTGACCCCAAGTTTAATGACAACATTTTTCTCTGGGATAGTTTTTTGACTGTCTACACTCTTGACGAAGATCTAATCTTACTATCAAACCATCCATTTATCATTTTTGATGTTTATCGTTTGGAGTGGTCGAGGAGATAAATGTGTGAAATTTTTATTAAAATCGTTCGATCCTCGTTGTAGTGACAATATTAGTTGCTGATCAAAAAACTTTGACTTCTGTATCATTAGGCGGCCCAAGGATGTTTATGGTCAGAGGCCCATGTGTAAGCGATTACATCGAATTCATACTCTAGCACGGTAAAAATATGGCCTAAACACTCTGGACCTTCGCATGTTTAAACTCAAGACGGCAATCGGCTTATTCAACATGTCAGGAAGTTATAGCAGTTGAGAAAGTTGTTTCATAATCTGCATTTGGTGTCATGCGGTATTTGAAATTGGCCAAACATTCAAAGAGCTCTTACAAAGAATTGAAATTTGTCAAGTTGTCTGTTCAGCGATTATTCTATCACTTTATGTCGTCATCTTTAAGATTCATAGAACACACGGCGCTCAAAACCCTATATTCTTAAATTTTCCGTAATTCTAAGTTTTTCAAACCAGTTTATTTTCATTCTACCTTTGTTTAAGTTGTGATAGTGAATACAAGACAAGGAGAAACAAAAAATGAAATTCTTTTTTTAAAGTTTTAGACCAGGGAAGAACTTAATCACAATAGAGGCTTTAAAAAACTCAGCTACAATACGCCTTGTTGATATCCATTTATTTACAATAGGACATCCGGCTGAAGTAGCCAGAGTTAAGATTGAAAAATTAAAGCGTATTCCGATATTACACAATAGTAATGGAACAGATCAGCGAGTCTTACAAGTCTATCAGTGTATTATTTTTTCTGTAGAACAATTGAATTTAGTGAATTCATAAGTCAGACATTTTTCAAAAAATCATGAAAAGTTCTCTAAAAGTGGAATTTTTCGATGTAGTTTTTCCTGGGTGTCAGAGGACGGAAGGAAAAAGACATAAGCTCCTTTAAGTTGATAAAGTTATATTTCAGCTGCTGTAAAATTTTCTCTCATTCATGTCATTTTGTCACAGGCCGCTATAGTTTTCTGAATTTTTTTGTAAGACATGCAATCACCGCGAGGTTTTTTTCTACTAATAATGATGTAGCCATTTTGGTGGGAATTCGGAAATTACATTTCGACATAACATTTGCACTAACCGATTGCTAGTGGATCGTAAACAAATTCTCAGTTTTCTCCACGATATCCATTTGACCTACAGCGAATATCAGTAATCCGTAAGGGCCTTACCTTTTTGGACACAAAGATTTGCTTCTCCTCAGCTCCTAATCTCTGTCTAACTTTAATGAGGCAGATCTCGTCTCACACTGAATGAAAAGCTCTTTCAAAGCTTTAATTTATATACTAAAAGGCCCAGTATGACGTCAACAGGCTTTACATGTGGACTTGGCATAATCGTCTACACGTATGAGAAATAAGATTATTTTTAGGGCATTATGACAAACTTGACAAGTAACATGCACGTACAGTCGACGCGATATCAAATGATAACTTCCGATATCCGCATTGGTCACCAAGAAACCGCGTTCACCATTCACCAATATACATTCGTATTTCCCTCCCGTAATATAAGGATCAGTGTTTCGTATTGTTTGCCGGAATACGTCTTTTAATTTCAGCACTTAAAATTCAACGGTATCTCCTTGTTGATATTTTTTCGTCTTTCCATCCCCGTTTGTATATGAAGATGTATTGGAACTGCGGGAGAAATTGGTTTTGGCTACTCGTGGGTAATGACTATTCATCAAACTGATCCCATTTATCAAAAAGTTGCTTGTTTGGCGAAATCTTACGTAATCATTTTATTATTGTAGTCTGCGGGAAAAGCCCTTTTGCGTGGCCAAATGCAGTCAGCATAACCGGGAAAAGCTGACCGGCCTGTTCGTTTACATTCCATTGAAAGATATTAAAACACCATTTAATCGAATTATCAAGTTTACTTAGAAATCGATATTACCAATATTCATTATATAGGATACACTAGCCCAAAAATAGCAATAGCTAGTGTAAGCGAGTAGTGTATTTCAGAATGACCTGTCATGTCCGCTCAATAAGTCACATCTTGGAACCTTGAATCATGTCACACACACATTTTAAAATTGAACATGCAATGCAAGGTTAACTCTGACAAATATTGGCAATACTTTTAAGGCAAAGTTTTAATAGATGACTTTCAAGATGTATAAAGTAAGTGATATTATTTCGATAAAACGGATTCTTTTCTCACGAGTAAACTAATTTGTTCCTGTGCATACCATGTCGAAAATAACGTTGGTTAATATTCTTTACAATTTTGCCCTCGAGTACTCAAATAGTGTTTTTCTGTTCGTGACAGGACAAGATGCAGTAACTGTACAATATACTTAAGTCCTTAATATTGAATTGATAGGCAAGCATTTGCGGATGCTTTGTTCTCTTTCCATTTCCTCTCATGAAAAGAATTTCACTTCACTGCAATTTTCACCGATAAGGAAACATTTAACTGC